GCAAGTATGTAAATAAAGGGAGCGATATGGCTGTTTTCGGTGTAGCTGGTGATAATAGAAATGATGAAATTACTCAGTATCAACTGGGGCGCTATATTAGTAGTAATGAAGCTGTCTGGAGGATTCTGTCGTTTCCAATGCACGAAAGACATCCTGTGGTTGTTCACTTAGCTGTGCATCTTGAGAATGGCCAACGTATTTATTTTAATGAAGCAAATGCATTGGAAAGAGCAGCACACCCACCAGCGACTACGTTGACAGCTTTTTTCAAATTATGCGAAACTGATACATTTGCTAGAAATTTGTTATATTCCGAAGTGCCTCAGTACTATACATGGAATGTGTCTTCAAAAAAATTTCAAAGACGTAAACAAGGAACAGCAGTCGATGGGCATTCAGGCATTTTCAAAACAGATGCAATTGGGAGAATGTATACAGTACATCCAAACAATGCTGAGTGTTTTTTTATTTGCGATTGCTATTAGTTAACGTCAATGGCCCAAAATCATTTCAAGAATTAAGAACAGTCGACGGTCATTTGTGTCAAACATATCGTGAAGCATGTCAACTCTTGCATTTGTTGGAGGATGATGCACATTGGGATTCAACACTTAATGATGCATCTACGTCAGCTCATCCACAACAAATACGAATGCTATTTGCCATTATATTATCGACATGTATGCCATCAAATCCACTTGAATTATGGAACAAATATAAAAATTATATGGCAGAAGATATTTTAATTCGTATGCGTCATCATGCAAGAAATCCTGATTTGTTGATTACCTTGGAAATGTGCAACGAAGCTTTGATAATAATTGAAGATATATGTCTAACGATTGCAAATAAAGCATTAGTACAATTGGGTATGACCGCACCAAATCGTCCCATGCATGATTTGTTTGATCGTGAATTGCAACGTGAGCAGGAATTCAACTGTAATGATTTGCGTTTATTTGTACAATCGAATATAACCAAATTAAATATTCAGCAAAAACATGTATATGATACAATCATGCAAGCCGTTTCCAATAATGCAGGTGGATTATATTTTTTGGATGCACCTGGTGGCACAGGTAAAACGTTCGTTATATCATTGATTTTAGCGACTATTCGATCAGATCAGAAAATTGCACTAGCACTTGCATCTTCGGGAATTGCTGCTACATTATTAGAAGGTGGTCGGACCGCACACTCTGCATTAAAATTGCCATTGAATGTACAGGTGATTGAAACTCCAACTTGCAATATATCGAGAAATTCTGCTATGGCAAAAGTTCTGCGATTAACGTCAATTATTTTATGGGATGAGTGTACAATGGCGAATAAAAAATCACTAGAAGCATTCAATCGAACAATGCAAGATTTACGTGGTAATCAACAGCTTTTTGGTGGTGCTTTGATATTACTTTCAGGGGATTTTCGTCAAACATTGCCTGTCATTCCTCGATAAACTCCTGCTGATGAAATAAATGCCTGCTTGAAGTCATCAGTTCTTTGGAGATATCTACAAAAATTGACACTAAACATTAATATGCGTGTTCAGCTACAAAATGATCCAGCTGCCCATGAGTTCTCAAAACAATTGTTAGAAATTGGTGACGGCAAAATACAAATCGACAGAACCAACGGATTGATCGCTGTACCGAACAATTTTTGTACAATTGCGCAATCGATAGATGAATTGATTGAATGTGTTTTTCCGAATATTGTTCAGAATTACAGAAATCATGATTGGTTGACAGAACGCGCCATTTTAGCACCGAAAAACATTCATGTCAATGCAATTAATTTTAAAATTCAAGCGAAACTGCCAGGCGTAGTCACGAAATATAAATCAATTGACAGTGTTATGAATCAAGATGAGGCAATGAATTATCCAATTGAATTTTTAAATTCATTGGAGCCGGCTGGTATGCCACCGCATTGCTTGAATCTGAAAGTTGGTTCTTCGATTATATTATTGCGAATTATTAATCCACCAAAACTGTGTAACGGAACCAGATTGGCAGTGAAAAAGTTATTGCCAAATTTGATTGAAGCTACGATCTTAACTGGTAAATCAAAAGGAGAAGTTGTTTTGATACCGCGTATACCTATGATTCCAACTGATATGCCTTTTGAGTTCAAACGTTTACAATATCCTGTGCGTTTATCATTTGCGATGTCCATCAACAAGGCCCAAGGTCAAACACTTCACGTTTGTGGTGTGAATTTGGAGGAACATTGTTTTTCACATGGCCAGTTATATGTTGCCTGTTCCAGAGTCGGTACCCCCAGCCGTTTGTTTATTTATGCTCAAAATGGAAAAACAAAAAATATTGTTTATCCAAATGTTTTGGATTAAGTGTGTTGTAAATAGCTAGCAATTGATTTCGATTTTAAATAAAATATTTTTTTGATTAAATAAATGAATTTGATGTTCCGATTTGTTTATTTTATTTCACTTTATATAATAAAAAACAAAGTGTTACGTTGTATTTGACAAAACGCGAAATATAATTCACAGTAGATAGAACTGTCCTCGCACCATTGTTCGTACGCATCGTTAAATGACAATTTTGTTGCTTTCAATGAATCAAAATGATAGCTCGTGAACAAAATGGTCTTTGCTGTCGAAATTCTATTTTAAATACATTATTTTAGTTATTACTCTCCCAAAGGTAATATATCGTTATATTCACAAAATAAAATTAATTAATAAATGTATAAAATGAATGTATTGCAAAATCGAACTAAACTTTCTAGTTTTTTATATAAATTATGACAGGAAATGTTTTCGAAGTAAAATAAAAATTGGCTGACAATCTCATTGTCTTGGAAGTACTTTGTTAACTTTTAGTTTTCTTCGAAGTAAAATTACGGAGGTTCTCTATAAGAATTCAATTGTCTCAGAGAATTTTCATGTCTCTTCCTATCATTTGTAAATCTCAGATTTTTGATATCTTTCAAATTCCAGTAAAATTTATTTCGTTTTTAATTATGGAATATTCGAGTTAGTTTCTTTCTTTAACGATATAATATAAAAACATTTTTAGAAATTTTCATAACTCTTTTATATAATTTGATAGTTGCTAATTCAAAACAGATATTCATAAGAAAACAGCCGAAATATAACAAGTGCGGAACGCACAAAATGTTTCTTTTAAAGAGAGGCAACACTTACATATCTTTGCTTAGCCGCTTGCTAAAGCAATATGAACATCATATACATTAATAAAATATCCCTCGAAATCAACATGGTCGCGATGGCTTCATTAATTAAATAAAATTAAAAAACATAAAAGTAATGTTATGAACTTTGTGAATTTTCCTTTAGTTATATTACGTGTCGTTTCTTTTTCCTCAATTTCATAATTGCTGATAAGCGAGAACTTCTATACAAGTTTTAACCTCCTGGAGAGATTTTTTATTAAACTCGTTTAATTTAAAAGCAACTTGGACATTATCAAAAATAAAAAATGTAAAATTAAAAGTTCATTCATAATATATTTCTTTTTAAAAATAATGTAATATTTATTTTAATATGAATATGTTTATTGATATTCCGTATTTGTAATATTAGTTATTCATGATCGAATAATATTTGAGAGATTTACCTATAAATACGTATACATACTCGTATATATAGAGGTAACACAATTATCACATGTGATCCCTGAAAATGTACATAAAGCAATTTTTTAATTTATTTAATTTTGCTAATTGGTCTAAATTTTAATCTAAAACGGAAACGTTATCACGTTCCGTTTTAATTGAAGGCCACTAAAGATATTATGAGTTACAATTAGACGCCTTGACGGTATTCTGAGACGTCGTCGTTTTGATAAAATGACGTTTGAGGTGCAAATTAATTAATTATTAAATTTTATATTATCTTGAAACTATTTGTGTTGAGGTAAGTTGGAAATTTGTTACTAGCTGTTAGAATAAAATTAAAGTAATTAAATATGTATATATCATATTAATTAAATAAATATTCGTTTCTTATTTCCGTTGACCTTTCAATACGCGGTTCTTTATGGTGTAATCATTAATGAAATAAAAAATACGGTAACGTATTCCGCAGTAAAAAATTTTGATTAAATAAAATCAAAATATATATTAAGCCTTTGTCGCAGTTTTGGTTTATTACTATATGAATCGTTTGCGTCAGTCAACGCTAATTTACGACCTAGTTTGTTCACGATTTTCACATAACTCGACACAGTTGTATCATTAAAAGTAATTATATAGACAAGTATACTGTTTGTATAGAGTTTAAATACTTATTTGTTTATAAGGATTGATTTATGTTTCTCAATCTTTCATGCAAAACTTTTGTGGCGATCGTTATAAAGCTGTACGATTAATTTGCATATTTTTGAGTAATCTAGACTTTAATATCGGTATATTGTTTAGTACAGCTACATAAAGCAGATCCACCAATACAGAGTCTGGTGTTAGTAAAGTCTTATAAACGGTTTTAATTATAGGCACTGCTCTCATTACGCCATTCGGTTATGGCAAGGTTGTTGATAATTGTATTAGAATGGATATTATAAAGTACAATCAAATTACAGTTATGAACTTAATACAATTGTATATAGATTATTCTTGTTAATTAATGAGTTACATTAATGCTAAGAATATTAAATTTTTGTGATAAGAAACAGAGTTAAACCTATTTGTATATTTTTGAACACATGATCTGGTTAATAGCATAATCGGTTAACATGTAAGAATAATGTTTATTATAACGGAAATAATCTCACAATTTGTTGATCTTAAAATATTTTATACAGTAATAGATAATTGTTTGTTTTGCCTTGAAATCTTTCTTCATCGCGATTATAAAATTTTTGTAATGTTATAATATATGTATATGAACCACATATACTATAATTTGAAGGTATTCGTATAAGCTAACGGGGTGAAAATACGTACCAGTCTTGAATGAGAAGGTACCTGTGAGAAATGTAAATATAATAATGTAAATATATTATATAATTCGTTACTTTTATCATGGCCTTCAGCAGGGCGTATCTCGTGAAAACATTCCTCTCAGCCTTTGACTCGTTGTAACGCTCCATTAGATTGACGAGCGCTTTCTTTGCCGTGTCATAGTTCTCGTCTAAACGCACTCGGACCATTCGAAGTCTCTCATTCGTTTCTATAACCTCTTCTTTTGTCTGCCCACCTAGTATCAAACAGGTATTATTTGTATTAGATTATCTTGATGTAACTAACTACATATTAAATTATGAAAATACAAACTTGAAGTGCCCTCGTCTTTGACATCTTGTACAATACGGCGTACGCTCTGTGTAAATTTTCCGACTAAATTGGTGCTAGCTGAAACAAAGAGAAATAATAAGATTAATTGAAATTATTACTGAAACTTGTTCCATCAATTATATTACGGATTGAGTTTTTTTTTCAATTTAAAAAAATGCATAATAAAATCGAATTTTTAATCGAACATATACATTTGTAGTGTAGATGAAAGTAAGTTCGGTGGGTGATGCAAGTTTCAACACGGATATTCACTTAGACGACTCAAATAAGCCAACTTGGTACATGCGAATGGAATCATGCCCCAGACAAGGATTATTTATAAATCAATACAAGAAATCTTTGTTCATATTGTAACTGTTCATTATTCTGTTTATAATAATCTTGAATCGTTTTATTATTTAGAACCTCACTGACGATGTTTTATCTTAATTATTACTTTATACTATACATATGTTTAAATTTTCCTTTATATATATATAGTTTGTTTTGAAGTTCTGACGTGAAAATAAAGATGTTATAAATTTGAAATTGATGTCTGTGTGTGTATTTGTTTGTGGTATTGTAGCTCTCAAAAGGTCAATTTTGATGCAGTTTTTTCATTTCCTAGTCGTGGTAATTAACTATGTTTGATTATATCGGTTCAATAATAATTAAAGAGTATAATAATTAGCTCTTTCCCAAAGTGATGTGAGACATTTTTGGCTTATGTATGAATAATAATCAATTCAATGTCTCAAAATAGTAAGTAAATTAATACTTAGAATTGTATTTAAAACTCCTATATGATAGGAAGCAAAAATTACGATCTTAAATTTAATTCATAAGAGTTAAAGCGCCTTATAAGTACTTTATCCAGTCTTAACAGATTTTGTAGTTCTACGAGTAGTTACTACACTATGGAATTTTGAAGTTTGAAGCATTATTTGTTTGGAACTTTTAAGAGCACATTCTTTGATTCAGTTCTAGAGTAGGTGACTATTATTTTAAAAATATTGTACAAGCAATAACTGAAAGTAAATGTACTTTTAAAACATTAAAATTACTAAATACGATAAAATAAAAACCACAAGTAAAAGATTATTTAAAATTATTTTTGAAATTATATTAAAAATGAGTTTACCTGGAATACATTATAATAGACGTTTGGTTGATTCATGAATTGTAAATAAATTATAAACAATAAAAATATTGTATTATTAGTATCCTTAACCAGCAATAGCCTTACTTTATATATATATATATATATATATATATATATATATATATATATATATGTCTTAACGTCAAAGTTATAGAAATGTTTCTAAACAGAATGGACCCAGAAGCTCGATTCAGTAATATTTCAACGTCCAAGAGTTTAATTATAGGTTTTATGTTGAGTTATTTACGCTTGAATTGATGTCGTTTAGATTGAGTGCCGTTATAGGTTTACTGCTTTGCGGAATATAAATAAACAACAATGTATCGTTATTTCGAAATTACTTTAACAGTAGGCATAATATTTATATTGATTATAAAAACCCAAATGTATTTGTGCCACTGCTGGAAAAAAAATCTGAAATCTCATCATAGTTCCGTAAGTTATCTACGTATTTTTATAATTCAATGAAAATTTTTCTTATTCAGCATAAGAAAATTATTTCTTTTTAATGATATTGTAAAAGTATTTTATGTAAAATAACAATTCTATAAAATGAATTCTGGAGATTATTGTGTGGAAAAGAAAGAACAAATAAATTGTAGAGATTACAATGCCGTTATTGGTAGTGGGTATCTCTTTATATAAACAACATGCATGTGTAATTAGTGCTTACAGAAGCAGTTTTAAAAATATCAGTTCAATTCTCCCTATTTTTGAATTTAAATGTACCTAAAAGCGGAGTTTATAGCCATGCCATAAAATCATATTTTTTTTTTATGCAAAAGCTATTTAAATTTTAGAAAGTAAAATCTATCCGTCATTACTTACTTCCAATACGTCATTTTGTGCCAACAAAAAAAACAATAGGAGAAAGTCGTTTAGTCCCTAAATATTTACTGAATGACGTTTTTTTCCTTTAATATAAAAAATAGAATATTTATACCTATTTTTTATTAATTTCAATATTTACGAATGAATTAAATTCCCAAAAAACATGTGATTGTCCTTGATTGTACAATTTGCTTTTTATAGAAATCATAATAAATGAAACGACTTATGATTGATTGTTCAAGTATTTTATATCAATATTTGTTCACAATATTATTAAATATATTGACAATTTATCATTAAATTATACTTTTAAGAGAGCGGACAATCAAAATAATTTATTTTTTTTTATTAAAGAGGCTAGCTTAGCATTGAATTTGAATTTATAAATCAAAATTCTAAGTCTGATATTGCCTAATTATGTCATAGCTTCGGCTCAAGAAAATAGAGACTTTATTTTAATACGTTTATATTAATTAAAAGCTTAATTGCGTTCATTCCAGAAAGGTATTTCAGCGCTTTCTGTGGAATTGGTAGCAATTAATTGTATTTTAAATTGCAATTACACTTTAAGCTTCCAATAACTTTTTATGTGTTATTTTAATATTTGGCAGACCGTGATGCCAAAGAATTAATTACTTGAGAAAATGAAAAATGTCATATTATTTATTAATTTGTTATTCAGAGAAAGAAATGGATTATAATATATTTTAACAAACAAAACCAAAACATTTGTTATTCAAATCTGTGCTTAGTGTATGAATCAAACCAAAGTGTCAAACTTTTTCAATTGAAAGGAAACTCGTCGAAACAGAATATCAAATAACGTTTCCATTGAGATTCAAATGTAAATGAAAAAAATACTTTTTTTGTAATATCGACCATTCTCTTATTTTAAAACATTAGTCATTTCAGTGAACAACGAAGTAATTGTCTAAACGAATAGATGACGGGACATTGAAAAAGTTATTTTGAAACTTTGTGAAAAGGGGATCTGTCAACAGAACGATTTGGTTTATTAAATTATGGAATGAATTACATATAAATTTATCAGTTCCTCAAAAAAAAGAAAGTTATATGAAGATTTTATATAAAGCAATATATTTTCTTTTACTTTTGCCTTCATTTAAATATTTTTCCGCCGCATATTTAATAATTACAGGAAACTTAAAATATGAAAAAGTGTGAGAGATTAAAAAATATATATATTTTGAAACACTACAAGTATTTTTATACAAAATGTGATAACGTTTGGACAGAATATTATATGAAATATTTATTTAAGCATGACAGTATCTCACAGAAAATATATTTTAATTACATACATTTTACGCGAGATTCATAATATTATCCAGAAAACCTTTCACATTTCCTGCATCTGTTAAGTTTTTGGTACGTTCGAGCAAATAGACTTTAGCGATGAAAGCATATTTGCATAAGAACGATTGGAAAACGAATAGTATAAAGTCGAATCGATTTTTAAAATGTTTCTATCTTTAAATTTTTTAATTTGTTCTTACTGTAAGTAAATTCCATACTTGTTTTAATATCTCTTACTTCGATTAACGTTCTTAATATTTGGCATTTTGTAAGATATTTTAAATGATTGATAAAAAACTAAGTAATTATTTAAAAGAAAAATATTTTTTATAAGGATAACAGCTTATAAAATTTTTAAAGGACCCTAGTATAGGAACCCGATATAAGGCGACCTTCACCGAGATGCTTATTTGATGAAACATGTTTTATATTCAATTTAATATGTCAATAACCATATTACATATGGGTGTAATTAACTATTAATTAGTCATATCCTGGACTAAAATTTATAATACAAAACATGTTTTATCAAATAAGCATTTCGGTGAAGGTCGCCTTATATCGGGGTCTTAGGCTATATATAAAAAAAGACAGAGAATTCAAAAAATTCCTACTGAAATAATCTATATTACGTTTAACAATTGTACTAATCTGTTGTAGTTTATAACAGATTGAAATTGCTAATTTTATCATACATATTTGAGGTCAAGATTTAGTCTTATTACTTGAGCTTCTTGTCTAAAAATTTCAGTCCGTATCGATATCTTGAATGAGAAATCAACTTCTACTTTGTTACATTATAAATGAAATAATTATTCTCAAAGATGTTTACCTATGTAAATATTTTTTTGGGGTTGCAGCATTTACCATTTAGCGAAAATGACTTATATCACCTTATTTTAGTTTTATTACTAAGTTGTATTATAACTAATTCTCAGGAAATGTGTTTGGATCAAATAAATGTAGTATTATTGACGCATATGATATTTATTGTCTACAGTGTGGAATAAATGAATAATTAAAAATATATTGGAATTAAAATCGATTACCAAATAATATGACTATAAGTCGTATTTTACAATACTCGTGCATTGTGCGTTTGTAATTTAAAACATCTCATGTTTGATTTTTTTGTATTACACATCAAATGAACTTTAAGCTTGAAATACATGATTTTCTATATTTTTAAAGCAGTAAATTTAATCATTTATTAATATTATTCTAAATCTTACATACTTTCTTCTATCTTTTCACGGAATGATAACGGACAGAATATGTTTTTGTATATTTAAAGAGAGAATTTATTTTCTTACGCGGCATATCTTTTGTTTACGATAGTATTTCTTATAATATCCATTTAATAACACTGAATTTAGTCATGCAAAATGTTAATCCCATATTTTAAATAATTTCGGCATTATTTAGCTTACATGAATTAACATCGTTCACACAAACCCTTCAAGTCTGAAGTTGAGTGTTATGTTGATCTACATAATTCTCCATCAATCATATTAACTGATTTTACGTTTCAGGCGGTCTTAGTATAGGAAGTAAATACGACCATCGAATAGATTTATACATTGAATTAGTTTACCCTTCTTCATTAACCATCACTATGGTGTAATATAAATATTTCTTTAATACATCATATTAAAATTATTCTATGAAGTATAAAAATGTTAGAATCTGTTTAACTATTATAGTATATAAGATATTTCTAGAAAATTACCTGCATGTATGTATATATGTATGTATGTATTATAATAATGTATTTATTACTCATCGCTATTCAATACAACGTTCAATATCGTTTTTTGTTTAATCGTCTATTGTTCTTATAAAAACGTTGATCAGATAAATGATTTTTGTTTTTTGACAAAACATAACAATAGTTATACTACCAATTGCAATACCTTAACAACGCGTGTATAGAAAATATATTACATTATTAAATATGAATCCAAATAAAGTCTTATAATTCTTGTTGTTCTATATTAACAATGGAAAAC